AGATTAAACACAGCCCTCTGAGGGCCCCGGTTGCGCCGGTCTACTGATTCTTACCAGTAACGCTGGCATCAGGGTGGTACGAATTAGTGGAAGGCACGATTAGGCCAACTCCTCCCTAGGTAACAAAAAATCGCATCATAAAACAGCAAGTATCATCAAAAGCGAGTTAATAAATCTCTGAATAGTTCGAGTTGAAGTTCCAGGTTTAACTGCTATGTGTCCTAATCACCAAACGAAATGGATGCCACGCAATTCTCGGACAGGCTGTAATCTGAAAAGTGTCTATCCTTTCCAAGAGCTATCCATCTCGTTGGAAGGGCTAAAAATCTACTTGTTTCTGAGCTTACTTTCATTCCAGGGTCAAATATAATCACTTGAACCATAATAATATTCAACATATTCCATCATAATCCGAGGGCCGCACACAGGATTTTTTTTCTGGATTACCTTTCGAGCTTTATTCCCCAACTCGTTGACCAGTTTTCCTTGAGAAAACCCCAACTTTCGCCCAATTGTCCATGAGGAAACTACATATTCTATCTTACTGCATTGACGGGAAGTGGTAAGCTGGACGTCTGTGAAAAGGGTTGATCCATAAATTTTCAAGGAAGCAATTGTTGTTTTTGTTTGTGAAATAGAGGACTCTAGCCGATGAGGCTACTTTCCCCCCAAGAACCTCAGGCAACCAATTTGTTTTATGTACTACTATCGTAATAAAACATTACTATATTAACCACTTCCTGGTGGCTGAAGACTTACACTGAATGCGTAAACGGAAAAAAATGTCCCCGAGAAAATGTTTTTTCTGACAATTGATATTCGAGATGTCTTCTGTTGCACAAATTATGCTACACTGTGTAAGAACTTTCATCCTTTGATCTGAAGATTGTTTGCACTATTTCAAAGTAAACCTGCATTTTCGTATATCATCCCGTAATTTGTGATTAATGACAATGACTGTGGAAATAATATGGGTTGAGGAATGGAAGATCTATGTTCGTCACGTGACTGGACAATTCCACCCCCCATCCCACCCGGACGATGATCGCTCCCGGAGCGACGCGGCGCGCCCTCTAAAAAAATCTCGGGCACAGTTTACTCTTCTAAGTTTTCCGGTAGGTATTTAGTAATGCGGAGTTTGGTCCTTGGTGTGGTTTTGGATCAGGTGAGCGCTGATGAAATAAGTTCATTAACATACAAGCGAGTGATCGCCTACGGTCAAAGAAAAATTTCTTTTCAGATTTTTTTTAAGAATTTCTTCTCCCAAATTTCTCTCTCAAAAAATTCAAATTTTGTTTCCAGTATTTTTCTCTGTAAAATTATTTCCTACGGAATGTTTTTTTTGTAAAACCAATTTTTTGGAAAAATTCTATTTTTTGGGGGGGACAGAAATTTTTTTTCGTCAAAAAAAATTTGGGAGAAAAAAAAATTGGATTTTTTTTTTTTTTGGGGGGGGGGGGGGGGGGCTATTTGTAAAACGAACATGACCTTGACCTTCCTTCATCGGCGCTCACTTGGTCCAAAACCGCACAGAGGACCAGGCTCCGGGTTACCTATTTAGGGTGTTTTCCGGTATTTATGATGTTTTCCGGTATTTAGTTTTTCAGGTGTTTTCCGGTATTCAGTATAAAATGGTGTTTTCCGGTTGTTTTCCGGAATTTTCCGGTTGTTTTCCGGAATTTTCCGGTTGTTTTCCTGTGTTTTCCGGTATATGGGTAATTATCTTGTGAGTGTGCATTCATGGTATCAGAGTTCCGAATTATTGAACCATCTCGAAGCGATACATTTTTGACTTTGTTTCGACAACTAGTATCTTCTACGTCCTATGTTATGAATTGACATGCAGTCTTTAGAATTTTAAGACAAAAGGGGCTTTTAGTGGAACTTGTTTTACAAAATCTCAACACCGCAACGGTATTGTATAGTCAAAAAATATTTTAAATTAACCAGAAAACGCAAAAACATTCAACTTTCTGAAAAGATGATGGGGATTACACTTCAAAAATAATATTTCTTTTTATATCGTCATAATTTCTTTGCTGTAATTTGTAGTTTATACCACTTACCTCAAATCGCTCCACATTTTGTAATTGTATTAAAGTGTAGCGCAATAAAAACATGATTATGTATTTGATTTCTTGATTCAGTAACACAGACCGATCAAATAATATTTCTGTCCGCTTATAAAATGGTTCTTTAACTTTAAAAAAAGTAGCAATGAGAGATTTTACACTCAGTGACGGTGTTGAATTCCCGTGACGGTGATATTTTTAAATTGGTGGCTTTATATAATAAACAATAACCTTATATTAGACACTATAAAAAATAGTATGTTTACATAACAGTTTGCTACTTTACACAAAAATATATGCAATAGCCATTTTGATAAACCTTTCAAGAACACATAATTTATTAAACATTTTATTTTATTCCAGACACAATCAAAACTCGTTGAATATTTGATCAATATTACCGGGAGCACATTAAAATCTTGATAAAATACTGATTTAACACTAATTAATTATACGGTTGGCATAAAAAGGATGCGGTTGGAAATACACATATATGGTTAGTAAATGAAATATACGGGTGTCGGGTATCAAATAAAACACACGGTTGGAAATGAAATATATTGGTAGCACACCCGTAACTAAAATTGGTCGACCATAAAAAATTTTCGCCCCATGTGAAAAAAATCATCTGTATATTTGATATCGGATTCTCAGTGTTTACGGATTTTATCCAGATTTCTGGATTTTTTACCTTTTTCAGATCTTTAAAAGAGGACTATTTTGAGGTTTTCTGCTCAAATTTTCTTCGAACGAGGGGTCTTGCATGAAAATTGACTGATTTCTTCGGTGTGAAAGGGAGAAAGACGATTGACGAGGCTGCCCAGAGTGCAGGAAATAGCGTTTCCGGCAGTTCAATTTTGAAAATTTTTCTCGACCCCCCCCCTCCCTAGATATACATTGTCCGTCATTTTTACAGCACCCCTGAGAACACTTTCCACTTCCACCCACCGCCACCGCTCCCACCCCGTTGCTCTGAGCTATTTACGGCCCTGATTGGTAGTAAATGAAATATATGGTAAGAGATCAAATATACAGGTTGCAGATAAAATTTGAGGTTGACAATGAAATATATGGGTAGTCCGGGTGGGCGGATCAGACAGACAGGCAGGCCCATTTCAATAGAACCTGCCTTTTTCGCTCTACAGGAATGAAATTGGATTAGGTTTGTAGTTTATCTTATTTGTGATCAACACAGTACAAATAAATGCGTTTTACAATGTTCCTGGTTTAGTAAGATACACACTTTCATAGAATATGAAACTTCTCACATTTATGCTACTCCAATCTATACAAAATGTCAGTTTCTCTATCTTTCGCTTCGCTACAAACGAGGACGTCTGTTGACACTATCACCCTTCAATTAACAAATGACCATTAGAAAGGGATTCGGATTCTGTATTTTCCATTAAAGCACAAGCAATCTACTCGAATTTTAAGTTTATTGTATAAAACGAATGGCGAATAACTATCTTTATCGTTCTAGGATGTTTGCCATACGAGTGGAGAATATCCACTCCGGTGAAATATTAGAGGAACTACAAGTTATTCTACATAATTATGTTGATAAGATAAGATTTAATTTAAGCGCTGGTGAACCAAACCTCAACACCGTATCGGTTTCTCAACACCGTAACAAAACTTAATGTTACGTAGTTGAGCGTTACGGTGTTGAGAACCATGGAGTTTATGATGTTTTGAGCCAAGAGCGCATGTGTGAGAAACGCCGTTAACGTACATTAGGTATCGGTACACCATTTCAAATTCAAATATATACATTGTTTCTGATCAAATCGACTACAAATGCAAGAAAACCACGTTACGGTGTTGATTATGAATTAATACACGCAAGCAAAATCAGAACGTGGTGAAGTGACCCTCGCCTCAGTAGATAAGTTATATTGCGGGAAAACTATCAGTGTTACGGTGTTGAGCATTTTGATAGTGACAATTTAAAATTTGAATTTTAAAGATTCTACAACCATAACTAACGACTCTGTTGTATACCGAATCTGACAATAGTCCTAGTAGATGCGTATGCGCCCTGATTAGCATGATTATCTTTTTGATCAATATAGTAAAGAACAATTTGAAAAATACATGTAGTGTTAGTGACATTGAAAAGCATACCCACAGGGCCCAAACTCTCCCATGTCTGATCTTATAAAATGTATAAACTATTAAATAAATCCAAATTTCTTATCCGAATTTTCTGTAAAAATAAAGGGGAGTTACATGAAATATTTTTAAATTTTAAAATTAAAGAAAAAAAAACAGAAAAAAAATCGAGTGACACAAAAACATTCAACTTTGCACACCCATGGGATAATCACCCATATATAGTATTGCCGTGAATTGTGTTCTCCATAAAATTTTATTAAAAAATAAAATTAGTTTATAAATTGATATTATTATTTCAACCATGGACATTATAATTGTAAGGTCCATGTTTCAACGGTGACTTTTGGCTAATATCTTCTTTTTGTCCATAAAATAATAACCTTGGAAATTGTTCATTTTTAAAAGAGTAATTTCCCTTGGTAAAAAAACGGTGCCCGATCTAAAAGTTTAAACACCTAACCTTGAAAAACTCCTTGGGTGCATTATATTGCATGAAAATAATTGATAGCTAACACCCCCAATCGTAGGCAATATCTTAAAATAAACTTCATCTGGTGTAACTGATCTAAATCTTTCCAAAATTGAAGAATTTGTGTCTGTAGAAGACTTTTCTTCGCTTTTGGAAGCCATATTTATTTTTATGACGTCACTCACAATAATTTCTGAAGATCGATGAGATTTTTTTTTTATTTAAGATATATCTTAGATTTTTGATCATACAACTTGAAAAATAATCAGCTATCAACCCTTTGTGATATTTGTTTTTAACAACCTTTGTCATTCACAACAGATCCGAAATCATTGTTATGAAAATAAATGAGGGGTCAATCGAGTTCAAAATGGAGTTAAGGAGATGGAGCAAATGAAATGTCTATGATGTTTCTTCTGAATAACACACTTCAGCACTAGGATACATCTTTCAGAACATTATGTGTACCCTCTTCAATAGTTAGTGAAGAATTCTGGATTATTAAAAAAAATCAAAATGCCACGTAAACGACGAAGAGATAAATCTGAAGTCAGTTGCTGTATCAAATATCTGATGTTCGGATTTAATGTGCTATTTTGGGTGAGTATTCCACAGACATATTTAAAGTGACACAACACTCAAAGCCTAACTTTTATTGTTATTTCAATTCTTTTTTTAGAATGGAAGAAAAGAAAAAAAATGTTTAAAAACCGAACATGAAATAAAATACGGTATTAAGTTTAAATGACTTTATTTTAAACTACCGGTACTGATAACTAAACATGGGGTAAGACATAATTAACGGCCTTATGTCTCCAGGACACATGATTTGTATAACTGTAGCACCACATCAATGTTTTGTTGAAATATATTGTTTTTCATTAAATTAAAAATGTTTGGCCTTTACGACTAAAGTTTTTGGCCATTATGATCAAATTTATTGGCGGTTATGACCAAATTGTTTGGCTGTTATGACTAAAGCAGGGCCGCTTTGACCAAACCTGTTTTTGTCCGTTATGGCATAGGGCCGTTATGACCACATCCCATAACATGGACCTTATTATAACTGATAATAATTGAAGTCTCACTTTATGTACATTTGAACTGAACAGCTAGAATAACATTAGGATAATGACTTAAAATATTCAAATAGTTTAGAATTGATTACCGGTAATACAAAAGTCACTATCATACTTTCAGTTCAGTAAAGTTATAGTTCACTTTACTATTTTTAAAAAGATGTTTCGAGAATTAACCATTCAGAGTTCAGACAATTGACTTATTTACTGGTATATATACAAAATTTATTCAACATTTTACGTAACTCGACTATGACGAAATGAAATTTAGGTAAGCGGGTGGAAAAATTGGAATCTTTGAAAAGTTGAGAATCTTCAGTCATTTATTGCTTTGCCTATCCCAATTACAATCAAATTTTTTCAAAAATTCCATTTTTGTTTCACCTGCTTAGCTAAATTTCATTTAGTCTTATATGGCCGAGTTACGTAAATTTGTGCGTTACCCTATATTTAGACTTCAATAGCTTCTGCCAAGCCGTTTAGCAGAAGGGGACATATTTTTAACAGCATGTTGTGTCACACATACTGACTCTAGCGAGGTAAGCAAGGTCTTATTTTCGCACTAAAATGATCCTTCACATTGTTCAGGTGTTCACAGAGACTGACACACTACCGTTCAGCAGTTAAAAGCTGCCCATTGAAATTGACTGGGGGTTGATACTTTTTCGACAAGGATTCAGTAGAGCAGTTCCTGAATGTACAGGGTGAATGTACATTACTCCCTATAGTTTGTGATAGTATCGGTAGGCCTACTCTGTGTTTCACAATACAATTTTCCTGGCAGGATGATTTCTTCAATTCTACTCAATACCACCGCTTTTGTACTACTATAAGCTACCTCATTGTGAATGTGAATAAAAACTGACAGAATACATGAACACAAAAATTATATATAAATAGTACATGTATCTGTCGATCAAGCAACTGAAACACTAACACAATATTAGAATATTGGAACTTGCATGATTTAGTAAATTGTGCTACATGTATACCGGGGTAGGCTTATCATTACTTCTGAATTTATTGGCTCATTATTATACAGTAATGGATTATTTTTTGGAAGGTTAGTAGTATAGGTTGATTAAGGAAGATAACTGGAATGATAAGACATCGGCTTGTAGGTGTTCATCTGGTGAATGTCTTGACTGAGCATTTTCTGATAAGGCTAAGCAAAAATAAGCAATTTGATGAGGTCAGACTGGCAGCGGGCCCCTAGACTTAACTGCCAGCTGGTCAAATCCTGCATATGACTCCAGCCTTCTCGAGATCAGAACCCTGATGGCAAAGCGGGCCAGACTATGCACGTACATGTACGTCTGGGTAATAAACAAAACAAAATGATTTCTCGATGCACTATAAAAACATAACGCAAGTAATTAATCTACATTGTAATTTGTGTTGTCTATTTATTTTGGGATTGAGGCGAGGAACATCGGCCACACTGTTGGCTTGTGTTAGATAATTTCTTAAGAGATATTGCCCTCGATCAATGATATTATTATAATCATTTCACGATAGTAAAATTCAGACATTTCATTAAGGCCAGGAAAACAAAACTTTCTGTATTGTATATTTAGGTTTGACTTCTTGCCCCTGTTATTGAAACCTTATTGTCGCTCTATGCATCATAGATTTTAAGATTTAAAAAAAAAATCTTGGTTTGCATATTCATGGACCTGAAACCAATCTAAATAGATTTGTGCTTGTCAGTTTTTTTAAAATTATTTTTAAAAAATAAATACTGTACTTGGAAATTTTACAATTATACCTAATTTCAGCAAAATGGCACAAATATTTAAGTGATTTAAGTTTAAAGTGCACATAAGATGGGCAAGAAAACCTTTCGGTACATATAACCAATGATTACTACATGTTATCCACTTTACGGCAAGTTCACACTAATCGGATTAAAATTAATTCAGCTATCTTCACTCAAAGTCGCAAAAAGAGACCACACGTAAAAACGACTATGCCAATTATCGAAAACACCCTTAGTCCCCTCAGATGCCAGTGACTAATAATGCTTTATTACACAACTATACAGGAGTATATGTTAAAGCATACAATACAAAGTACAATACAATAATAAACATCAAAGAACATAGAAGGTTTACAGAGGTTTCTAAAAGTATATGAAATTATATTAATAATGTTAGTAAGGTACATGTATAGAATCAGTCAAACTAGTTTTGATGTGATGACTTAAAAACTTTTTCCGAAGATTATTGTGGGCGAAGCAATGGAGAAGAGCGTGTGTTTCATCTTCTAGTTCTCAGCTAGTACAATTGAGACCTGAGATCGGCTTGATTCTCACATTAGATTCATGGATTAAGTGTTCAACTTCTATTGTTACACTGTCCGAGTTGATTGAAATTCTGATAGTAGCATTTTCATTAGTGGTTGCTGTAGTAGTTGTTATAGTTGGGGTGTCACAATAAGACATTTTTTTTACAAATCATTTCAGGCCAGCAATTTCCAGAGGCGAAATTGCTAGCTGAACACGATTTTTAGAATTTTTTTTATCTATGACGTCATTTTCGGTTGGGGTTTGTCTGATTTCCAAAATGGCCGCCAAAAGTTGACGTAAAATGAATTTCCAGATAGGATGGGTGATTTTCATGCAAGGTATGGCTTGTAATATATCATATATAAGGTTTTTGTTGTAATTGAACTGAAAAATAATCTCTAAAACTAGTTTCCCCAAATCCAAGATGGCGGAAATTCAAAATGGCGGCTAAAATTTACCCTAAAATGGCTGATTTGTCAGATTAAAGTCATTTCACAGTTTGATTTGGTTTGTAATATGTAATCTAAAGGGTTTTCACTGTCACTGAACTTAAAATTAATCTAAAGAAAAAAAGAGTTTTAAAAATCCAAGATGGCGGAAATTCAAAATGTCGACCAAAATTTATCTAAAATGGCCGATTTGTCAGATAAAAGTCATTTCACTCTTTGATATGGTTTGTAATACGTAATTTAAAGGGTTTTGAATCTCATTGAACTCAAAATCAATCTAAAATAGAGTTTCCAAAATCCAAGATGGCGGAAATTAAAAAATGGCGGCCAGATTTTCTCTAAATTGGTCAATTTTTAAGATAATCGTCAATTTTCTGTTTGATATGACTTGTAATATGTCCTCTATTAAGTTTTCAGAGTCACTGAATTTGATAATTGTAGATGATTGTTTCAGAAAAAAAAGGGACAATCACCAATCTTTCTATTGGATTGGTTTATAATAGCAAATTGTAATAGTTTTTTTAGGGCAACTGAATTTGACCTGACCCAGGAATCTACCTGTCAATAAATAAACCATGTGCAGAACTTACCAGTCAGCTAATTAGAATTTCAAAGAATTTAACCTTAAGACACAATAAATGTAGCTTAATTGTTTTTATGCATAAAACCCCCATAACAATACAACGGGGCCAACTGACGCATTTTTAATTTCATCTCCTTTGTCTTTGCACCATTTTACCGGAGTGAGAATCATTTGTGGTATATCCAGTCAGTAAGAATTTAAGTTCTCGTATTCGTTCAGAAATGGTAATGTGGTCCGTTTTTGCATCGAAGACTCCGTGTCCAGTAACTTTTGTGGTATAGTCTAGATGTTGTATCCACAGGTCATTTTCGTCAGTTACGTATTTCACAACAAGTTCTACATGTAAGAACAACACAAAAGAAAAGAGGAAATCGTGGGGGATGACTTTTGGGATACCTAGTCGTAAATGCATTTCCAATTATTTTCGTGATGATTATTTTTAACTTAGAACTTGGTGTGCATTACATTACAGACGAATATGATCTGTGGATACCATACCACACAAGTTGCGGACACAGAGACTTCGATGATTCATTTTACACTTTTCACTTTATGAAATACATGACTGACAAATATGAATTCATCTGTCTAGATGATACCACAAACGGTTTCCGGACATAAGTCTTCTGAACAAAAGTTAATAAATATTGATATTCGTCAAGCAGTGTGCTATGAGGAAAATTGGCCCAGACAGTGGTACTATGGTGTACTCTTATTTCGAATTCCAACTGTCTAGGGTTCTTGTATGCGCACGTCAACGTGTACATATAAACCTGGTTTCTCGAGAAGCCCCCGGTGCTGCATCCTGACAAGGAGAAACCACACTGGAAAATCCTAAGGTACTTTTTCAGCAAACATAGGGAACGAACCCCAGATCTCGTTCTTAGCGAGTCTTACTCACTGAACCACTATTTCGAACCATTTCTGAATAAACAATAGATAAATTCTTAACAACTGGATATATATACCTCACTGTTTTGCTGGAATAATATTAAATCTTGTTTATGTGAGATCCAGTATAACAGTTCCAGTTACCATCAAAATAACTACTACTCTTTGCTATTACAAGCCAATCCCATAGGAAAATTCACGATTGTCCTGTTGTATTTTTAAGCAATCATCTACCATCTTCAAAATTCATTTTTGATGTAATATTCATTTTCAAAATTCATTTTTGAGGTAATATTCATTTTCAAAATTCA